GAGGGACCGCTACTGCCTTGCTTGATGTGACTGATAATATCTTATTAGCACAAGACCAGGGCATGTGTACATTGCTTGTCTTATTGGATTTTTCCCGGGCTTTCGATAGCATTAACACTTCTTTGTTGCTGTCAAAGCTTAACTACTACGGGTTCGACAGTAATGCAGTTAAATGGTTCCATAGCTATCTGTCAGGTCGATGTCAGGGTGTGGAACTGCATCTTGATGGTGGGGCTTCAGTGGTTTCTGAACTCACCCCTGTTACAAGAGGGGTTCCTCAGGGATCAATATTAGGACCTATTCTCTTTAGTATTTACTGCGCCGATATAACAAAATGTTTGATTAATTCACGATATCATATATATGCTGATGACATTCAAGTTTATATTTCGTTTAAGTTAAGTGATTACGATAAAGCTATATCTGACTTAAATGATGATCTGAACAGAATCGTGCAGTGGGCGGAAAGAAATTCATTGGTTCTCAATCCAAATAAGACAAAATACATGATGTTCGGCACTAAAATAAATCTAAACTCACTTCCCAGTTTTAACATAACCCTTATGGGACAATCAATTGAGAGGGTGAATGAGGCCCGTAATCTTGGCCTGCTTATCGATTGTAATTTAAGGTTCGAAAAGCACGTTGCTGAATTAGTTCGAAACTGTTTCTATAGGTTGCGCATTTTGTACAAGATACGACCGTTTCTGTCCGAGAGCCTGCGAATGCAGCTGGTTGAGTCGCTGGTCCTATCAAAATTAAACTACGCCGATACGGTGTATGGGCCACGGCTTCTAGCTCGCACGGATAGGTTGATTCAGAGGCTCCAAAATGCTTGCACCCGTTTTTGTTTCAGGATACCACCAAGAACTCACATCACTCCGTTCCTAAATGACAACTATGTCCTCAAAATGAAGTCTAGGCGCAAGCTTCACTTAGCATCACTAATGTTTGGCATTGTTACACACCGAGAACCAACTTACCTGTTTCGTAAATTGGAATGGGTGTCCAATAGACGTGATTGTACGGTGAGACAGTGCTCACGGCAACTCTCTATATTACCGCATAAAACGGCCGCTTTTAAAGGTAGTTTCCGCTATGCGGCCTCAAAGATATGGAACAATTTACCGCCGCCTATAAGATCGTCAAATACGATTGGCACTTTTAAATATAGATTGCGGCGGTATCTCATAGACGCACAGCGGAGACTGGATATGGCCATTGTGAACTCTTCCCTGATTTAACGTGAGCGCTGTCAGAGTCGGGGATGAGGGGCGTGCACGCTTTGGAGACCGGATATTTATAGATTAACGTTGTTGGATATTGTGTATATCGTAGTGTATTTTTATTGTGATCTGCATATCTGTAATTTGTCTTGTTATATGTTATATGTTATTAATGTTGTGATGTATGTATACAATGTGTACTACATGTGTTATGTGTACTACATGCAACAGGGTGTACGCATAGCATCATTTTGGGCCCAATTGAAAACCAGCGTCAGGCTTCCATCTGACATAAGGCTGAATTGGGTCCGTTTTTGGCATCGTTGGTAATCCAAGTTGCAATTGTTCAAAATGTATTATTGCCAAAATAAACGATTTTTCTTTCTTTAATAAATAAATAAATAAATTTTCTTTCTTTCTTTTCTTTATATAACAGCGTCAGTTGTCGATTTACCCAACGTAAATCCAAATTGTCTATCATGAAATTTGACTCCACCTGGCAGAAGCCGGGGCACTACAAGACGTTCTAAAAGCTTTCCTAACGATGGTAATAATGTGATTGGTCGGTAGGATTTAGGATCATCCGGTGGCTTGTCGCCACTTTTTGGTATTATACGAATATTACCGCACCGCCATATACGAGGAAATATTCCTTCAGCAATGCAACGTTTAAAGACAGTGAAAATCGTGTCACCCGAAAGTTTACAAGCTTCTTTTATCATTTTGTTAGATATTTTATCATCGCCCGAAGCCTTGTTTAGCGGTAAGGATCTAATGATACCGAGAAATTCGTCTGAAGATGGTAAACAGACATTGGAGACAGTGGTGGTTCGATGGCCCACTGCCTGATCTGTCGGTGATGATCAGTGTCGTTTTCCTTCCGATCGTCAGGTACGAGTGAGTCTAAAAGATATTCTGCTGTTTGTTCTACTCCTGTGGTATATCTGTTATTAATTTTGATGTTCTGTATGTATGCAAGGTCGATTGATCTATTTGCCTTAAATTCGTGATACAAAGGTGACCACGGGCCCTCTCTATCGAGTTTATCAACAAGTTTCTGAATTAAGTTTCCCTTGGATTTTTCCACAGCAGCTCTGTAATGGGACCTGGCATTCTAAGAGCAATGAGAGCATTGTTGTACAAAACTCCTGTTACGTTATGTTTTTAATAGTGTTTAATTTTCTACGAGCTTTCCGGTAGCTTCTACGTAGTTCGGCTAATCTATCATTCCACCAATCACATCTACGAGTGTTAGTGATAGATCCGCGACCAATAGTTACATCAGCGCAGTATGTAAAAGTTTCTGATAGTATTTCTGCGCTTTCCTCAGCTGATAAACTACTGCGACTGAAGTCTTTGGTATGAGTTGCAAAGAGTGAACCAAACAAAGCCCAGTTCGCACCTTTAGTTTTATATCTAAAATTATAGGGAGCCCTTTGTGGATTCTGTGCAACCCTTGGTATGAATTCGTACACGATCAAGCGGTGATCACTACAGGATGCGTCCGGAAGGACACGCCATCCGGATATCGAGACGTCGCCGCTCGTAAGCGTCACGTCAATAGAAGACTCGCCCATTGGGTTGCAAAAAGTTGGTGGTGCATCGGGGGTATTGTGAATAATAAGATTCATTTCCGCAATGAAATCTTCAACCGCACAACGTCGAACCGTGTCGGTTGAACGCATCTTGCCATACCATAATGAAGATGACGCATTGACATCAGCGCCAATGATAATTTTATGTCCGCCGAGGAACTGCAAGACGTAACGTAAGTGATGTAAGTGAGGATCAATAGGATGTGAATATTGAAAATAGCAGCTCACTACGTAAACCTTACAGGTAGAGGATGAGATCTCAGCAACGGCGCAGTGTGACGTCATAAGATTACGCAAAAATGTTACCGTAAAATTAGAACTTGCAACATATATCCCAGCCTGCGAACGGAAGTCAAGCTGTACTACATTACGACGCAAGTGAACGCTCTGATATTGTTCTTGTAAAAGGACAATGTCTAACTTTTGTTCTAAAATTAAACGGTCTAATTCTGATGTAGCTATTTTATCGTTATGAAGATTAAACTGGCCTATCGAAATATTATTCATTACTTAGTAAGTTACTCTTTTAACTTTTTTTTTTTTTTTTTTTTGAACTAAGTTAAACTATTCAGTAATTGGTATTTAATATTAGCTGTTCCAGTTTTAATTTGTATGTGGCACAGTCGTATGAGCCGCATCGATGGTCAGATGGTTTTTTGAACCGCTTACACTGTGCGCACGTGGGCTTAAAATCTGGTGTGTCTTTATCTGGACAAGCTCGCGTTTCGTGTGCGGCGGCGCAATTAGCACAAGTAGGGGTTTTTATGGTGCAAAACTTTTGTACATGACCGAATTGCTGACAATTTAAGCAACGAACTACTTCTATATCGTCTATGAATCTACATGTGGCCCAGTCTATATAAAGTTTATCTTTTGTGTTGGCTAGATGTTTCCGAACTGCTGCCTCTAATTCTAAACCTATCCATTGACGCCCATTTTCTAGTTTACGATGCCTAACAATTTTGGTTGACTTAATAAAATGTTCTCACTTAATTTTAATTCGTCCTTGATATTCTGACGGTATAAGGCTGTTAGGAAGGCACGATCTTCCATAGAACCGGGTACGTCTTTTACAATTATACGGGGCCTACGGCCTTTCGGTTTTTCTAAGCGCAACCCTACTGATTTAATGGCGTCCACAGATTCCAGTTTCTTAAGCTGCCGTTCGTTAGCTACACGTAACACGACGCCTGCCTTAGAGGTTTTTTTAACGCCTACAATTTGAAATCCCTCATCGCTCGGTTTAATAGCCTTCATGAGAGCTTGTTTTGTTGCTGACGAGGTCGCATAGTCCGCTAAGCGTTCCGTAGTGGGATAGGCAATAACACAAGGCCTAGGAACGCGCGCTTCAGTAGGTACCGGGCACGGAGCAGATTTAGGTGGTAATCGAAGCTTAAGTTTGTCCGCGTACGTTAAACTCGTTTTCTGAGTGGCTATACCCTCCATTTGTCGCTCAAAATTCGCTAACTTCGTTTCGTTGCTAGAGGATTTTATTGCTAACAAAGATACGATACCGGTAATTCGTTGAGTAATATCCATAATCGCCGTTTTATTACCTACATTCATCCGAGATCCCTGATCATTAACTAATTCATTAATTTTTGCTAAATAATCAGTGGCCTGTGATACTAAGTCACAGTAGTTGTGATCCCCACAGTTATCACGACCGGTAGGAGACGAAACATTTCCACTTAAGTCCGAATTAATAACGCGCCTACGGCTACTGTCTTTCGGCGAGAAATCCGTAGGTGACATTTCGATAAATGTCCTTTTCCCGGTTGGTGTTAGAAATTCACTTGTACCGCCGGGGTCCGGCAACTCGCTAACGACCGACATAGCCAAACAAAGACACACCAAACAACAATTTCAAAAGGAACAGGTTTAAAAATAAATAACACGCAGAGAAAAATCAATATAAACAAAGGATACCTCCTACCCACTTTTATAAAGAAAATAAATTTACTCACCAATAGTCGTAATAAAATAATTCAGCACTATATTACTGTTTAAAAACAATAAAAACTTACTGACTTTCTTTAAAAACACTATACACAACCTTTAGCCGCCCGCAAGCCGGAAACTAGTCGCAGAAAAACAGAAAAACAATATTTAAATTGTTAGCACATGAAGTCACACGTTAGTCGCACGGTGCCGCGAAGGAAGTGAATCGCCTTGCAATATGCCGATAAATAGATCGCCTCCTCTTACGGCTACAACTAAGTTATCGCTCACTACGCCACTGTTAGCCCCGTTGCAACATAGGTCATCCGTGCCGAATATTGCAAGCGAAGAGCGCGAGAAGCGTTTGGAATGTGACATTCCTAACATTACTCAACGTAATAAACGTAAGTGTTTGGATTTGGATACCCAACACGACAACCAAATTTCAGTTTTTATGTCTGAGCTGAAAACCATGTTTCTTGAATGTAAGGAACAGCAGGACAAAAAAATTGAAAAGATTTACACATCAATTGAGGAGGTTAAAGCCCAAAACGTGACTATTCAATCTACGGTCACTTTCTTGTCACAGAATTACGATGCGCTGCAAGATAGAATCAATCAATTGGAGACACAACTTGTGACAGAAAGAGAAACTAATTTGTTACATCTACAAAAATTGCAAGACAATCTTGAAAAAATGGAGCGGGAGCTAGGTCTACATGTGTAGAAAAAAGAAATATACCAGTTAAACTTCAAGAGTCCAAGGAATCTCTTGATGCAATGGTTGCCAGGATTGGTTCCCTCATGAATGTACCGGTGCAGGTTCATGACGTGAGGGATATCTTCCGCACTCGCTCAAAGGATGTTGATAGCAGGCCTATAATAGTGGAATGTTAGTACAAGATTAGTAGTCTAATCTTCTTAAAGAGAAAGAACAATGGCAGAAGCATATTTACCTAAAACTGAAGCGTTTAAAAAATTGACTAATAGTAACCTTACTAAATATTTTTTCTATGATTTATCATTATACCGCCATGTGTTGTATAAGTCTAATAAGAGATTAGATATTTTTAAAGTTTTTATTTGACCTAAGTACGTAATGTCAGAATCGCCATCACGAACTGACTAGGGATGCGTGATGATATTATTATGTTATGGAACGTTTTATCGATAATCAATTGATATAACTTTGGCTTGAAATATCTATCGAAGGTTTACCTATTATGATTATGAATTTGCTTCTGCCCACGGGTTTACTCATACGCTATCGTAACTAGTACTGTAGTGACTAAATCAACCTAATTAGAAATAATTTAGAATATTATGGACTCTTTTTAAAAGATTTTTGCTACACCAAAATAAATAGAATATAGTTACGTTATTTTCCTACAGAAAAATACTAAAACAATATACTGTTTAGTGTGATGAGAAAAAGACATTGTAGGTTGATAACGGCACATAAATAGACATATATCGATATTTTTAAAATGTCGATACGTCGTCGTCGCACTTACTAGTCTTGTCGTTTGACACTTACACGCATGACTTACATTCCATTTCTCACAAGGCAATTGTAGTTTGTTTGGTTGTTTCACTTTTGTTTAGTATTAAACTCTCATATATGTTTATTTTAATTTTAATTTCATATAGTGTTACTCCAATATGCATGATGTGATGCCTTAAAATGTTGTGCATTAATCTCAATAAAATGGATGCATGCTTTTAGTAAATAATGTCACAACTACTGACTGTTGAATAACTAAATAAATAAATAAATGCTCCCGTCTTGTTTAAATGTGTATTGAAGTACATTTATTCAAATTATTATTATTAATTTATTTATTTATAGCTAGTATTACACCTGCTATGTAAGCGAAGATTTTTTCTATTGTTTACCAATAGATGCCAAGCAAATACCCTTCTTTCCTTCACCCATTTAGAGAGTCGGCTAACACTTTCTACAGCAAAATAGGGTTGCTTATAAGTAATAATAATGATGAATAATATTTTCGAATATATGACACACAACGCCATCTAGTTTCAAACAAAACATTGACAATATTTTAGTACTTAACCTCGAAACATTCAAAAGCCAATATCTTTTTTCCTAGACTTCTTTCGCTAGTAATTTTTTTATGAGAATGTTCAAGAATAAATTCTCAAGGGTTTTAGGCATTTTTGATATTTAAACGCTGTCATTTCACTTCAAATAAAATTATGTATGGGGACCTGCCATTGTTCTTTATTTATATGCAAAGGAAATTTAATAAGGAAAACAAACTCTCTACCGAGCACCTGAGACGTGGTGGGCCGGCTAAACCATCCATGTTTGTATCAGAAAATCTAACACCAAAAATGAAAAGGCTATTCTTCCTTGCCAGAGACTTTGCAAGTAGTAATCAATACCGGTACTGCTGGGTTACGAATGGCAAAATATATCTACGTGAAAAACAAGGAGCTTCGCACATTATGATTAAGTCTGAGTCTGACTTGCCCAAAAAGTGACTGGGATATTGTTATATGCTCCATTGCTTATCTATCGTTAATTATTATACGACTGATGTACACACTAACTTTAACATTCACATTACATTACTCGAAATTCTCATACAATAACAACAGGACAACACTTAGTCTCACCCTCTCACACACAACAATAGACACCATGGAAATATTCTACTCTTATACTACTTACCCGTAAAATGTTATTAAGACCTGTATTAACCTTAGATCATGGTCTGTGCCTAGTAGTCCTACATATAGGTAAATTGTTTGACTTTTGTTTACCAAAATGGATGATAATTCTATAATTGCAAGTGTCTGAATGCCAAGCTCCAGTAGTGTGGCTGGTGTGCTTGAATGGATGTGTGTTTTAAGCGTTGTAAAAATAAACGCGTAGTAGACTGTATATACTGTATTTCACTTGTTACAATAATTTATAAAAGGTGATGTGCACGCGTGGACATTTCTTGGGCGAGTGTTCGCCCGCGCCGAGCAGCCCTCGCCCGGCCGTTGTTGAAAGTCGCGGAACCGGTTTGGTGCGGGGGCCGCACAGCCCGATGAGACGCAGGAACATATTCCCCCGAGTTGAAGGCTGGAGGACTTCAAGACACTGGAAGAGGGCAGATATTATTAAAGGCACGGGTTATAATGCCCTTCTTCGTGCTGTTAGATTGGACAGTCCGGCACTTTAAAAAAAAACCACCACTGACTATCACAATTATTTATTTTATAACTCTACACAACTTTTGGCAACTTAATATAGACACAAACTTATACAACACCACTTAACACGGATTATACGCGTTTTTATTGGCCCCAGCGAAGGGCAGAATAGACCCGGAGTATATTATTGCTCTAGAATTCCCTGCTGAAAACCAACCAAGGTTGGGGAGTACTCAGAGACCACAAATTATATCAGCACTAAAGAATATTAACTGACTAATTTAAGAAAAGGATTGGTATTTATAGTGTATTTATTGCTGATCTGCAATGTTAAATTTTCGTCATTTTGCTATTATTGCAAGTCTGCAATATTGTATTGCATTCCTATGCAATATCATCAAAATTAGGGATGTAACAGTGCGTATTTCCGCAACTCTACAATGCCCGTCAGACCCGGGCTTGACGGTAACGACTCGGCCCAGCATCCAAAGAAGAGGAGGTAGGTGAGCGTCTTTCACCAAGACCATGTCTCCTGCCGTAAGGTCTTGTCCAGAGGTCTGCCATTTAGTCCTTTGCTGGAGAAGGGAGACGTACTCCTTTGAGAAGCGCTGCCAAAAATGCTGCCTCAACTTCTCGATACGGTCGAAGCGTGACAGTCGCGATATGTTAACGTCACTGATGTTTGGTCGAGGAACTGACGTAAGAGCTCGTCCGAGGAGGAAGTGTGAAGGAGTAAGGCAAGTTTGATCAGAAGGATCAGTGGATAGAGGTGTCAAAGGTCTAGAATTAAGAATAGCCTCCACCTGAGCCAGACACGTTGAAAGTTCTTCATATGTCAAGTGAGTTAAGCTCATTACTCTACGTAGAAGATGTTTCATTGACTTTACCGCCGCTTCCCAAATGCCACCACAATGTGGGCTATATGCAGGTATAAATTTGAATTCAATGCCTTGATTTGCAATATCAGACTCTATGACTTCAGGGGAAACCTGTAAAAAGCGTGAAAGCTCATTAAAAGCTCCCACAAAAGTAGTACCGTTGTCGGAATACACGCGCTGAGGCTTGCCCCGACGACTAATGAAACGGTTAAAGGCCGCAAGAAAAGACTCCTTTGTGAGGTCGGAGACCAACTCCAGATGCACGGCTCTGACTGCAAAGCAATTAAAAACACAAATATATGACTTAATTAGTCTGTAACCCCTACCCTTTCGGTCGGCTATCAGCACTGGTACGGCGTAATCAAGTCCTGTGTTAAGAAAAGGAAACTCAAGATGTGTTCTGTCACTAGGAAGGTTGCCCATTATGACCTGAACAGGTTGAGCTCTAAATCGAGCACAACGACCACAGTTACGCACTATTTGTTTAGCTAGGTTTTTGCCTCCTAGAGGTGAGTGAGCCTAATGTGTGCCAATAGCAGCTGAGGCCCGGCATGTAACATGTTTTGATGTTTTGTAGCGAAAATAATTTTAGTTACGTGATGTTTGCTACATAATATGATTGGGTGCTTAACATCGTAGGTATAATATGAATTTTTAAGTCGTCCCCCTACGCGTATTAAATTTGGTGAATCTATAAAGGGAGAAAGACTAATCAATCGATTCTTTTTAGGCAAGGGCTGATTGTTTTTAAGGATCATATATTCCTCAGGGAACATTTCCTGCTGAGACATTTGTAAGATTAAGTTTTTAGATGTTTGTAATTCCCTGAATCTTTGTATATAAGCTGTAATTCTGATTAATTTTGTAAAAGAAGATGATTTTAGTATTAATTTTATAATTGGGTTATTGTTTGTTATGTTATTGTCTATGGCTGTATGAAGTAATATTTCGGGTAATGGATCGTGTAGTGTGTTAGATGTCTTTGGAAATTCGATATCATACCGATTAAGAAAATCGGGTCCTGACCACCAAAGCGTAGACGTGCTGATGCAATCAGCCTTCACCCCTCGAGATGCGAGGTCGGCGGGATTACATTTCGAAGGCACATAGCTCCACGTCTGGCCGATTGTAGCCTCTTGAATCTCCGTTACTCTATGGCGGACCGCCAACCGAGCACGATGGTCGAGTCACACCAAAAGAAACATTGACGGAAATTTAAAGTAAGTGCTCTGTGTACCTTTAAGTAAAGTCGAACGCCCAGTAAAGCTCCACATAACTCTAAACGAGGTATGGTTGTGGGCTTCATTGGGGCAATCTTATTTTTGGAAGTTAAGAGGCGAACGCAAACTGTCCCGTCGATTGTTACCGTTCTGACATAAACACACGCTCCGTAAGCGTATTCAGATGCATCTGTAAAGGTATGTAGTAACTTTAAAAGCTCTTATAAATAATTTGAAATAAAAATAGAATAGACATTTTTTATATAAATTTAATGAATACAATAAAACCTCAATAATAAATACCTGCTAGTCAGTGTTATATCCACAGAAAAAACTAAAGTATTCAATTTTCAAAAATAAAAACTACACACAGCATCACTATGAGCACTATACAAGAACTACAGGATTGTTTTGAGAAGAGGATGGCAAACTTCGAAGCAGAACTCCTGAAGAAGGCCTCAAAT